AATGTAATATTTTTATCTCTTTGTTTCCCCTCCCTTGTTTATTAACGAAGCGTATGAATCAAAAACCCAGTGATGTAGTGATACGGCACTATAGAGATGGCAATATTTTCGCAGTGAAATAGAATCAATCACTATTGTTGTGCTTTATATGATGGATATGCTTTTCGAACTTAATGCCCAATCCAACTTAGCTCGACAAGAGAGCTAAGGATGTGAGTGCTAGTTGGAACTAACGTAACATAAGCAATACCTCATCAATGCAGCTTCATCTATAACTTTTTTCACGCCTGACCGCTACTTTCTAAAATATCACATTTTATATATATCATGATGATATAATATATACAAAATTTTCGAGTCATTCGGGTCCAGTTATCAAAATTTCGGGTCGGATCCAAAAGCCTTCGAATCGGGTCGAGTTCGGGTTTGTATAAAAAGTATTGATTACAATCGGGTCGGGTTCGGGTCGTCCACGTCAGACTCGATTCGGTCTCTGATTTCTTATGATTTTTAGTTATATGTATTCAAACAATCAGATGCTGACAGTCCCTAAATTTTTTATTTATGTATTTCAGCTGTGTTTTCCCATGCCAGCTATTTTCGAAGTCTATTCGATGAATCCATATATTTCAAACCATATATCTCCACTTCGACACGAAGTGTCGAAGCGCAGGTGTCGCGGGGAGGGGGGTGCGACGCCATGAGAGTGACTCACGATCGTTAGAACCGAGACACAAAGATGAGGTTTTCTCGACTCAGTAGTCAAAGGTATTTCTCTAATATGCGTTTATCTAGAATGGACACCCTGAAAACCCGTACTTTCTACCTGAAGAGCGACTCACCAGCATAAGCAGCCACAAAAGCTTCACCATCTGGGAACAAAATCGCGTTCACAGGCTTAATTGGTAGCCAAGCCCAGCAAATCCAGCAAATAGTGTCTTTTTGAGAATACACTGCGTAGTGATATTCTGACATCTCTGCTTTGATATCAGATGAACATGTCAGAATTTCCGAAAAATTTCCTAAGAAGTTTGCCGAAACGAAAATTGATGTATCGTGTATAGTTTGCCTATGGGGTTGAGCTTATCTCAAACGGGTCACCTTGATTTCTTAAAAAGTTTTAAAATTCAGAAAGATTCGAGCCGACCTGAAAAAGAATTTTTTTTTTTTGATTATGCCACACTCGGAAGCGCTTGCAAACAAAAGGAACCAAGGAAAAAAGATATAGTTGAATCCATTACAACATTTTAGTTACATAAAGCTAATGAAATATAAAAAGGCACTTTCTTTTCTCACCAGCAGAGGACATCATTAACATATGTACTAGAACGGTTTAGGGGGATAAATTTAGGCAAAAATAAACACGAGGGAAACAGTAAGGAAAAGAAAATATTTAACTTTATCCAATAAAGTTCAGCCATTTCAGCAGTAATGATTCATGTTTTTCAATTTTATTTTTTACTCGTTTTTGCTGAAAACAGTGGCCCATTCCATCTTTTTTTCTCTTTTTAAAATTGTTCCGATAGAAAACATCATTATAGAAAAGTGAGAAAACGAGGTCAGATTTATGCATACTATCCAGCCTTTTTTTTAAATATTTTTTTACATAAAACATTAGATCATTTTCTTTTGTAAATGAGAATAGATTTTTACTGGAAACGAAATGGCATCGGTGAATAAGGCGAATACCGACTCTGAATTTTCTAAGAAATAAATCTTTCTGTGACTGAGGGAGGAAAGGAAAAAACGGAAACATTCAAGCGAAATACGGAAATGAGTATGCAAAGAAACAAAGCCGCAGTATATCAGTGGACACTTCCCGGTTATTTATTAACCACTTGAGTTTCCCATAGGATCTTTGTACATTTTCTAAACAATTGCTTACAGTATATCTCAGCGATAATTTTTCTGTCCAAGCGAAACCTAAAAACTTGAAGGTTTTAACTTGTTCTAATCGTTTATTATTCATGAAAATATTTATGTGAGGACGTGTGACCTGTGTATGAAAAAGTTGTATTACTGGTTTAGCGACATTTATTGGCTGTTTCCAACGTTTGGAATAGCGCGCTAACTCATTACACACTTTTGTTCCTTCTTTTTCTAAATATTCTAACATTGGTTTTAATTTCTTATTTATCGGTGGAGTTATTAAGACATTCAGATCATCGGCAAAAACATCTCCTGCATGCGCGCCTATACAAGAGATCAGATCGCTATGAAAAACGATGAATAGAAACGGACTCAAACTATTGCCCTGTGGCAACCCTATGTATAAATGAAAAGCCTTAGATCTCATATCTCCTAAGATAACATACGCTTTTCTCTCGCTTAACCGGGAATGAACAATTTTTAACAGCCCTAATGGCATTCCTAACCTAAATAGTTTTACAATAAGAGCCATATGCCATACATTGTCATAGACTTTTTGATAATCCACGTATATAGCTAACGTGGGACTATTAGCAGCGAAATTATTCTCGACTTCTTGAAATATTGATAATACACGGGTAGGCAGTAAACAGTTCGGCCTAAAACCTGATTGTTCATCCGGAATAATGTGATTTGCATCTGCCCACTTTTTCACTCTTTCTAACACCTAACACGATCTTCTCAAAAACTTTTGAATGTGTAGCTAACAGGGATATCGGCCGAGTCTGATCACATGTAGGTGTTCCTGCTTTTAATTTATTTAGTATAACAAACTTGGCTATTTTCCAACCTATCTGGATATCTACATTCTCTCAACCAAGTATTAAAACACGAATTTAAACCTTCAATGTACGTAGGTGGGAGAAGCTTGATCATATAGTTTGAAACCGAGTCTAACCCCGATGATTTTTTTGGTTTTAACTTTTTCATGAGTCTACTTATTTCATTTATACCAGTAGATAAAACTCCATTACAATTTACCGATAATTTGTTGATAATTTCAAAAAACTCGTTTTCGATTTCGAAATCGTGCGGTTCCGTTGGATCCAAAGCCGGTGGCTTAAACTGATTCTCGTAGTACTTATACAGTTCCTCTGTTATTTGTTGGCCATCGGTAATTATTTTATTTTTTACTACTAACTTAGAAAAAGGTAATGCTTTTGGCCTATATATTCTTGACAGAAATGTCCAAAAAACGTCATCTTTATTAACATACTTATTTTGCGTTGAAGATAAAAGCTATTCCATCTACATGACTTATATCTCGCTACTTCTACTTTTATTTCTCTATTCATCACTCTAAGCATCACTCTTAATTCTTCAGTACCTAAACTAAGTTTTTTCTTTCGATAATACATATTTCTTACTCTTCTTAATTCTTTCAATTTTACTAATATATGGCTCGGTAGAGATGGCCTATATTTTTCTTTATCCTTCCATTGAGTTACACGACTCCTAAGCGCAGACAAAAAACGGATATAATCCTTATACCATTCGTCTGATGACACTTCTTTTTGTCGCTCTAACCAAAAATCTTGCAATAGATATAACAATGTTTCATAATCCTTTCAGTTTACATGCGGAAAACAAACAAAGAGCGTCTGTTGAATAAACAATAGGCCAGTAATCACTAGTACCGAAATTTACTGTTTCACCTCTACAAGTCATTATGTCAGAGAAAGTTAAATCGATATTACGCAAAGAACGTTTAGAAGAATTAAAAGAGTTTTTAATATATATTAAATTAGTTTTGCTTAACCAATCCTCTAAAACTGCGCCACGCTTGTCTGTCAGCGGACTACCCCACTGTACAACTGACGCATTAAGATCTCCTGATAGAATAGTATTTTTAATAAGAAAAGGTTTTAAATCATTTAGATCTCTTTTCTGGCATTTTGGCCAATATACACCGGTTATTCTTATCGATTCTGAAAAACCTTCTACATCTACTATAACTGTATTTGGTAAATTGATTTCTACTTTAACTGCCTTAAGATGCTTCGCTATTGCAACACATACTCCACCACTGTGGTTTGTACCGGGCTGATGAAAAATGTTAAAATCGGGAAGTTTAAAGCTATCCTACAGGGATCCGACCTCAGTAAAAACGCACAGCGAAGCGTCCACTCTATGGATTAGGTCTAAAACTTCTAAAGCCCGGGTTTTCCATCCTTCCACATTGTACAGACAAAACTTTACTGGTATTGTTAGGTGCCTATTCATCAAATTACCTGGTATTACGCCATATCGTTCCCAGTTATCCAAAAGAGAGTCTAGAGACAAACGAGAAAACCACTCATACAAATCCTTCCTATCACTGAGTCTGGAAAATTACAATATGTCATTCTCTTACGAGCGTTCATCAGTTGCGCTTCTATTGTAACACTGACAAAACTTGAAGCGTTTGGGTTCATTTACATAGTGGGTCTCACTTATTATAGTCAACCAGTTGACTATAGTCATCATGATCTTTGTTATTATTAATGTTATCATTCGGATTATTTAATGCAGTTATGATAGGCGTTGATTGCTGCTGAATCACTAATTTCCGTGTGTCTACACTGCTAAAGTCTTCTGTAATTCGCGTATGCTGCTTGAGTAAGTCATTACCATAATCGTCCAAAGCCCTTAAAACACTTTCTTTCTCTCGTTCCTCTTGTATTAGGCTAATAAGGGGTTTAATCACTTTATTCATCATTTTGGATAACGCTGACAGAGTAGATTGTATCACTATTTTATTCAAATGAGTATTTGCTGTGTTAATTTCAATCACTTGCTGTTGAATATTTAATTTGTCGTTAATTTGTTTAAAATTTTGCTTAATGTGATTCATTTGCTGTAAATAGTTCATTATGTTCTATTGATCACTATTATTATTCTGTATATTCCATGGGTTAGACTTGATTTTATCAGTATTCATTACTGGGAAATCATTATTGTTATAACGAAATGTAGTCGGTTGATCCTGTTGCTGTGGTATTTCACGACGGTGTAATTTACCTTCACAAATTGCCATATTAACAGCTTTATTTAATTCTGTACGATACCGACGAATAACATCACATCTTGGATCTAGTGAGTGATGCTCCAGCTGACAATTAGCACATTTTAGAACATTAGAACACTGATGATTTAGACCAAAATTACCTAAACATATTCGACATCTTTGCGTTAGTATTATACATACATCTCTCAAATGGCCCAAACCCCAACATTTAGTACAATATGTCATTTTGTTTGCTGCTTTGTATGTTGTGATATATGAATATTCAGCGTCCGTATTCGCCTTATTCACCGATGCCATTTCGTTTCCAGTAAAAATCTATTCTCATTTACAAAAGAAAATGATCTAATGTTTTATGTAAAAAACATTAGATCATTTTCTTTTGTAAAATACAATTTGTGTAAATACAAATCCTTCCTATCACTGAGTCTGGGAAATTACAATATGTCATTCTCTTACGAGCGTTCATCAGTTGCGCTTCTATTGTAACACTGACAAAACTTGAAGCGTTAAATGAATTTTTGATCATCTCTTTAGTCGACTGAGTCATGAATCTATATTCATCGGCTGTTGTTCTATCAGCTATAAATCACAAAAAAACATTTTCCAGAAACAACATCGAGAACCTATGTAAACAAAAATGTTGTTGTAGAAATTTTATACGGCATATGACATTTTAGTTTAATTACGGATCATTCATGTCATCTTCATCTGAGATTTCAGAAACTGGGAGCAAACAAATAACGTGAGTTAGTACACTGTCTCTTGAGCACCACTGAACTCTTGTACAGTTTTTTGTAAAAGTAAACGTATTGAGTAACTTTCCTCTAGTTTATTATCATCATTATTATTAACATTAAAATAATTATCTAAAATTAAATAGCTGGATTTTGCAAATATTCACTCCAAAGTTCCTGTAATGACTTTCCTACAAAAACATTCCACGATTGTTCACTATACGAATTTGATCTCAAGGCTTGATCCAATTGTTTTACAATGTCTCGATTTTTCGACCGTTCTAACCAAACTAAAAATCGGGCTGTAACCCGGTAGGAATCTGTATATTTTTGATCGGAATTAAAATTGGGCAGTTGCCAACCGCCTTTTTCATTGTTAACTCCCCATTTGTATCGTGCCCAATCAGCAATACCTTCAACAAGCCAATTTGGATCATATGTTGGATAATTTTGAACAACATGAGCAAATTCATGCGTCACGGCATCATAATCTTCTGGATTATTACGAATAAATTCAGCACCCAACACGATATTTGACCCACTTGTAGCTGCAGCACCTTTATAATTTGGATCAACAGTGAGACGAACATTTCGTTGATTTTGACCAAAGTAGTTGTTCATTTCGGGCATCACTTTAAAATAGGTGTTTATGAGATGCTGACGAGTTTCATCCGAAAAACTATCGTCTTTATTGTCAATAGTTAATTTGTAACCATTCGATGTATATTCAACCACATTTCCAGTTAAACAATATGGTAAAATACCGAACAGTACGATTGAGATTACTACAAACATTTTTGAGAAAGATATTTGTTATGCTCATATTTATACTGTTTCTATAGGAAAGAAAAAATATTTTCCGTCCGTCTATACTGTTTAATAACAATACCGGATTATATTACCGGTTTCGACTAGCAAATATAACTACGCAAACAAGTATTTTTCTTACGTCTTACGTTTAAATCATTACGTTTGATTTTGCCCTTCTTTCGAAATCGTTTCGGTCGGATGTTGACGAGTAAACCTCGAAAGAAAATTAACTTTGTTCGGCGTAAGAATAATTCTTTGCTTTCAGCTTTAATCATACTCTTTAAAAATCCGTTAAATTGCTGATACTGTACTTCAAAAAGCAGAAAATAGCGAAATATAAGCACAGTTCACTGTAAAATTAACCAAGCTTGTTAAGTCCCATCTAATCTCACTGTTGTTGTTTTAAGCATTCGTTTTTACTCATTCTGCTGAACACTTCCTAGGTGTTATCTCGACTCTTTTTTGCCAGTTGGATCTAAAGATGGGCACCATATAATTCAATTCACATAAAAAACGTTTTTTTACTTAACAAGTCTAAAAATACTTTATAACAAATGTTTATTACATTTCAAATACGTTAACAAAGTTAGATTCTCTCTCTCTCTCTGATAGTATATAACAAATATGTTTAACATCCTCATAGTAATGTAAAGTTGCACGTGATTGACTCGAAAGTGACTCGAGTCAGTTTATCAAGATTCTCGAGTCTTTCGTCTCGAGTTCGAGTTCGAGTCCGAGTTACAGAAAAATGTGACTCGAGTCGACTCGGACTCGCCTATCTCTGGCTTATGAAGGACCTTTTCCAACTGCCTAATGGCCTAGTGGGTTATAGATTATCGATCACGCCAGTTTCGAATATCCATATGAGACGGACCGCTAGACCTCTAGAGTGGTTTCTGGAAAACTGGTTTCCCAAAAACATCGAAAAGTCCATAAAATTTTCTCTTAATAGATCACGATTGTAGTCCACGAGATTCTGATCAACCTGAGACAGCTCCCACCTCTACATGACCTTTCTTTGTAAAATTATAGAATTTACAAGAAAAGCCCTAAATGTTCATCGTCAGCTTAAGGGTACCCTCCTCTCTTTTTTGCAGAAAACTTTTCATTTTCAGCTGAACGTAGTCTAAAGTAGAGGAATGTCTGGAATGTCTATAAAATGAGACCACACCCGGCTCTCCATGACCTTCCATGTAAAAATGATAAAGTTTTTAATTTCTTCCTTCAAAGTCAATTTTAGGTTCGTAAAATTTTCTCTTCTTTCCTACATATTCTAAATTTTCTGTTGTACGCAGCATGACAAAAGAAAGTGTGCTCTTCAAAATAGAATTTTCCGATGAATTTTCGTGGCGATATAAGCATCGCTGCAAATGCCCTGAAAAACAGCGCTCTGTGTGCAATATAGGTTTTCTCACCGTGCGTTTTGTCGATAGGCCCTTCAATCAGGCCACATTATAACCACTCGAAAAAATGATCCGATCGAGCTGAAAATTATATCACAGGTACTTCAGACCCTATCTCAGATTCGTTTTTTTTAAAGCGTTTTCGAGTTCAGCTTTCGGCGTGAAGAGGTTTTTAATATGAAAAAACCGGTTTTTTATATGGAACTTTTAGTATTTTTCAAATATCTCGAGAAGAAAAGATTATTTTTTTGAAAAGAATAAATACGGACCTGAGATAGGATCTGAAGTATCTGTGGTAAAATTACTAATACTACAGATACTAATAACGTTAAGTTGTTACAACGAGATCGATTCGAGACGAAATTTATCGTGTCAGTAAAAAATATGTTTTGTTTGTAAACCTAAGCTTTCACTAAATTCATACACAAGAACATACTTTATCAAAACTTTTTGAATCCTATGAATATATATAGAAAAGCACGGTCGGCTAGAGAAGTGTAGTACGTTTGGACGTCTGATTGAATTAAAAAATCAGAAGACATTTTTTTATCATAAAGTGTTTTCCTGCAACATTCATGGGAGTTAAGTTTTTATTGTACTCTTGGCTGTTGTACGTATCATTGTTTAATAGCTTGTACCACATCCAGTTAACTTATTTATTGATACATGGTGAAGGAGGTAGACAATGAAAACAGTCGAATAATTTCTAGTAAATAATTGAACGTAAAACTTTTTTTTCTTTGATACGTTTCCATTCTTCGTCAGGAAAACGAATATCATACAAACCCTAAAATAGAAAAAAACCTTTAGGTGATAATATTTATTTAGAGCATAACTCATTTGACCCTAACCTGATGTAATGATAGTCCAGCATCTTGCACAGGAAGTATCCAAGCGTCTTCCTGATCTGATTCATTATGATGAGAATGCCAGAGACCCAATGGAGTTGAGAATGCTTCACCCGATTTCCATTCCACTTTAGTTGGATCAACTATATTTCCATTTTCATCTAATTCTTCGCCAATCAGTGTATAACATTTACCAGATGGAGCATATGTCACCAAATCTAATGCCACAGCGTTATGTCTAGAAAAATATTAAAACATAGTTAGTCCGTGAAAAGTTCTAATGATTTCGACAAGATATATGTGAATAAAACGTATGGCTATTGTCCTGCCATAGAAGCCAATTTAAAGCGAAATCTGTCTCCGATATTTTTAGGTTACTTTCAATCGGAGTTTCATAGAAAAAATATTTGTGTACACAGACATTCTGCGTTAGGTATCTGTGCGTTACTTTTTGCTGTTTTTATTGATCTCATAATACTTGAACAGAAGGTGGAGAATTTTTCACTGAGCTTCGTATGGATTTTGACGAGCACACTTTTAGCTAGAAAATAAGACGTCTTCCAGCTCTTTTCACGCTATTTTCTGTAAATTCTATAAATGGAACAAAACGACAAAAATGGTAACGCACAGACATTTGGTTGATCGTCAGACGGAATGGGTGTGCAAATTTCTCATTATGGCAGAGTCTTAGAAATCTCGTAGCCAGTTGAAGAGTTGTTTCTGTAAAAATAACATATAATAAACCAAGACACAGCTTAGTTCATCATGTTGACTTACGTAGTTTTTCGACTCGTTCACATGGCATCTCAAGGTTCATGTTCACATTTTATTAGTCAAATGCATTCATATTCCTGATTTTATGAACTAGAGATAGGATAAAACGTCAATGAAAAACTGTACAAAGTGGTATATCTCGTCCTTAGTAACCAGTTGAACATGGGAAAAAGTTTTTTGTATCAACTGCTATCGGGCGTCGAAGACGAACAGAAATTGAGGAAAATGACCGTGACCTGACATAGATTTGAGTAAATTTCAAAAGAAGAATTTTTCTTTACTACTGGTTTCTAGCAATACACTTGGCGCTTCCAGGTCCAATATACGATTTCTCGATGATTAAGCTGAACTATTGACTAACAAACACTTAGCTTTTTTGTACACTAAATGTTGAAGAATTCGCTGAAATACCAAATTCAGATCTTTTTTAAATACGGCAAAAGACAATCAACACTTTCGAGATGCTGTTAGTATTTATTAAAAACCTTTATTGTTCCTCTCCATGAAAGATAACACAACTTATTTCAAAAAATAATACCTTTGCTCAAATTGTCCGTCTAGTTCTCATGTTTTAAAGTTCTGTCTTTCTTTTATAAAACTTTCATTGTCACATACTCTTATAATTGCTAACATACTTTAGACTTTGGTCTTAAACTTTTTTACTGTTCTGAAGAAAAGTGAGTTTTAGAGAGTACGTATCTTGCCTAATTTCTCCATTCGGAAAGACTATTTTTTCCATAGCATATCCTAGACAACAAAAGTCTTTCACAATCGTAAATCTGAATGAAATCCTTCTAAATAGAGGTGCTAACCCCTTCTTACACTAAAATTTGATTCCTATCAAATATTCGATTTGTTCAGTTAACGACCTCAATTTTTCGCTCTTTTTCAAAAATTTATTGCAATAAAGCTACAAACTAATCTAAAATGGCAACTAGATAATCAAGCAGATTAAACATTTTCCTACAAACTGAAAAGTATCTCGGTTCTGAACGTTGATTCGTTATGAAAACCTTTTGACCTTTTTTTGTCACAATGTCACAGTTTTTCTGGATTTCCTTTCATTAATAAAGATTAATTAGAATAGTTCCTTAACAAGCTATCACATCTTGTAGAGCAAATAATTTTCTACAAACTGGTATACTTGTTCAATTTTTGCCAGCTCGTCTTCACTCTTTTAGACACGCTTTTCAGATAGCCCCAAAATCGATCTTTTGGGCTGTTTGTATAACAGCTGTATTTTCATAACGAATCAATGTTCAGAGCGAAGACACTTTTCATTTGGTAGAGAAATATTTAATCCACTTAATTATCTAGTTACCGTTTTAGATTAGTTTGTAACTTTGTTGCAATAATTTTTTGAAAATGAGCGTAAAAAGAGGATCGTTAGCTGGACAAGCCGTATTAAACATGAAATTTTCTCCGTTTGGTTGTCGATCTAAAAGAGAGACTGGCTTTGGGATTTTTGTTTCCTTCTCCATATAAAAGTGAGATACACCGTCAAATTCATTCCAATTTCTTAGATGATTTAAGAATGTTTGTGAGAAACTGTCTAACATCCTACTATTTCAATACAGACATGTCATTACAACTAAAGATGAATTACCTGTGTGGTTTTTGCATTGATTTTGCCGGCAATACATTCATTAATGCCCATAAAACATGTGTTAAACTTTTTGTTTCCTGTGTATTCGGATTTCCCACCAGTGCCCCTAAACGATTTCGATGTTCTGCTCCCAGTTGTTCTCGAATACTAGCAACTTTTTCTTTTAATACTTTGGCTCGAAATACTGTTGTTGTAAATGCTTGACCATTTGGTACAACGTTTAAATATCGAAGTAGTGGACCATCATGTACATAATACAAAGCGGCACTCTGCTCTAATTGATCATTGGAAACAGAATGAACAATTGCTTCGCCACCTGTGTAGGGTATAACCATCAGATCACCTTCATTCCATATGATCTCACCATTATCTTTCAATGACGTTTTACCTTGACCACGAATCACATACAGAGCCATCGATGTTACTTTTACATTTTGTTCAAAATGATCACCAGAATTAATCCGTAAATAGCCAGCCAACAGATTTTGACTACTAGCAGGATAATCAAGATCGATATGTTTTGATACTGAAGACGCATCATAAAAGAAGGAAAAATACCATTTAACGTTTCGTTTAATTATAGACTAATACGATGAAGTTTTAAACTGACTTATATTAGAACTATAATGGAAAACTGTACGTTCTAATACAGCAATATTTTGCATAGACCAAACATAAGTTAACCATGAAATAATTGTGATACTCTAACGCGCATATAAACAAAAGAAAAATTTGATGCGTGCACCTTAGCTAAATACTGTTGAATGCGTGAAAATGCGTTATTTTTCGAACTTATATGAGACTTGAAATTAATTCTAATGCACTCAAATCGTAAAGCGTTCGAACTCAATAAAAATTGAACAAATTAGCTTCCTGGATGCGTTTACACTAGTTGGAATAATACTTCGGATCAAAATGTAATTTTAACGCATTATAGTGCATTTTTCATTTTCAGGCAGGTTTTTATTCCACCGATGGATTCCAAGGTCGACCTAGCTATGATTTAGTAGATACTGTTCACCAGCACCATTATGGTAGACCAGTGTCTTACACATATATGAGTGATTTGCAATCTCAGTGTACAGTTTTGAAAAACATTTTCTTTCTGCGAATTAAAGAAAATCTAAATCGTACAGATTGTGATACTAACGAGCGAACCCCTCGAAGTGATTAAACGCTTTTTTGCTCGGAATCTAGTGGGTT